GCCTTTGTGCCCACTGACTCCAACCCTAGGAATGTCTCCCCAACCTCAAATACTCCTTTACCAGGAAGCCTGCTCCCCACCCCTACCCCAGTGGAAGAATAGTTCTTTCCTGGGGGCTGCAGAGGCTTGAGAGAACTTTCTGGGGGGTGGAAATATTCTGTATCTGCTTGGAATGTGCTTACATGGATGTATACAGAAGTCAAATACGTGGTCAGCACATTTAAAAAGTGGATTTTTTTAATGTAAAATATATTTTAATGAAGCAATTGGGATTTTTTTTGGTGGGGGGTAAGTGGGGAAGATCTATATGTACTTAGGGGAAGGATTTCCAAGGTATAAGAAAAAAAACAAAAACAAGGAGCAAAACAGGATGTAGAGGAGGCTGCCTTCTGGGCAAAAAGATACGAAAGACACTGGCACAGAGAGGGAGGCTTTCACTGCACGCCCTTGTGTAGCGTCTGGATCTTGAAGCAGGGAAATGGATTACAGTTGAAGAAATTAAATGGCAAATTTAAAAATATAAGGCAAAGTAAAAAATAAAAATAATGGGGTTTTTTTGTGTGAATTTTTTTAATATAAAGATGGCCCTTTAAAAAAAAAATAGATTCCAGAGAGGAAGGGAGAGAGATAGAAATATCAATGATGAGAGAGAAACATTGATTGACTGCCTTCTGCATGCCCTCCACTGGAGAGCAAGCCCGAAACGCAGGTATGTGCCCTTATGACCTCCTGGTTCATAGGTTGACACTGAGCCACGCCAATCATGTTTTAAAATAATTTCTTCACCTGCCTTTCTGGCTCAGTGTGTGTGTGTGTGTGTGTGTGTATATATTTTTTTTTTTTTTTTAAACGGGCAAAACTAATCTCCAGTGATAGGAGTCAGACTAGTGGTTTCCTATGGGTGGGGTATGGGTGTGGGAGGGAGTCACAGGGAGCTTGAGCTGCTGGAAATGTCATATGTCTTGATCAGGGAGGTAATTACATAGATTTACGTACATGTAAAAAGTCATTAAGCTGAACATGTTGGGTGAGTGCGCTTGTATGTTAAGCTTCAATAAAATTATGCAACTATTAGAAGAAAATATAGGGGTAAATGTTCATATATCTGATAAGGATTTGGTACTCAGAATATATTTTAAAATTCATAAAATTCAACAACAACAGAAACAAATAATCCAATTAAAAATTGGCAAAACACCATGGCCGGTTTGGCTCAGTGGATAGAGTGTTGCCCGCAGACTGAAGGGTCGAGTGTTCAATTCCAGTCAAGGGCATGTACCTGGGTTACTAGCTCCATCCCCAGCTCCGGTTGGGGAGCATGAGAGGCAACCAGTCAATGTGTCTCTCTCACATCCATGTTTCTCTCTTTCTCACCCTCCTCCTCCCTCCCTCCCTTCCACAATGGAAAAAATATCCTCAGGTGAAGATTAACAACAACGAAAATGGGCAAATGACTCAAATAGACATTTATCATACCCAGCAAGCACATGAAAAGATGTTCATTGATCATTAAGGAACATGACTGGTTTAAGGAAAAGCAAATCAAACACAATGAGATACCACTTCACACCTTTAGGAAGTCTTTCATTTTTAAAATGGAAAATAATAAGTGTTAGCAAGAATGTGGAGAAATTAGAACCCTCCTGCATGCTGGTAGGAATGTAAAATGGTGCAATCACTTTGTAAAACAGCCTGCCAGTTCCTCACAAGGTTAAACAGAGAGTTCCCATATGACCCAAGATAAATGGAAACAAGTCCTCACAAAAACTTGCATGCAGAGCATTATGCATAAAAGCCAAAAAGCAGAAACATCCCAATGCCCATCAACTTATGAATAAATAAACAAACTGGTTATCCATACAATAGGATATTATTGAGCCATAAAAAGGATGCTGATACCAGCTACAATATGGATGAACCTGGAAAACACCACACTAAGTGAAAGAAACCAAATGCAAAAGGTCACATCTTGTAGGATTCCGTTTATATGAAATGTCCAGAATAGGCAAAGCAATAGAGACAGAGCAGATAGTAGTTACACAGGTGATGGGGAGGAGGGGGGATTGGGAGTGATTAGTTAATGGGTATGGGGTGTTTTTCTGGGATGATAAATAAAAGTTTTGATACTCCAATTTTTGGGGGGAAGGCAACCTATTTTTGGAGGCCTTGCTTTGGCAAGCTGAAAAAAAAAGTTTTGAGACTAAATAGAAGTGGTGGTTGCACAACATTATGAATGCACAAAAATCCACTGAAGCGTACACTTCAAAATGGTTAATTGTATGTTATGTGGCTTTCACCTCAAATTTAAAAATAAATAAACATCCATTTTAAAAGTGAATGGAAACTGAAAAACTAACATCACCTCCAAGGCCCCGGGGGCCCTGACAGAACCAGCTGGATGCAGAGCACCCCCTCCAGTGCCTCCTTCCTCCTGTCTGCAGCTCCACGACATGGGGACTCTCAGGGAAAGTGACTGAGCCCAGCTCACAGGGTTGCCAGGAGACAGGACCAGGTCTCTCAAACCTCCTGGCACCCAGGCTCCCCCATAGACCCTGCCCATAGCCCCTGGGATTCTCCCCTGGCCTCCCTGGGTGGGAGCTGTGAGGTCAGGGGCCAGGAACGTTGCTGCAGCCACAGGCGGGAGTTAGTGACTGAGGAGCTTGGAATGTGCTGCCTCTGAAAGGACCTCCTTGTGGCTCCACCGACGGTTAGAGCAGGAAGGGACTTTCAGAACCGTGTAATCACACACACACACACACACACACACACACACACACACACATACACACACACACACACACACACGAGACCTGAGCCCTGCTCAGTCACTGGCCCAGGCTGCTTGGGGAGTGGGCAGGGTGGTGTTTCTAGAGCAGGCAGATGGATGTAGGCAAGGCTGACCTGATTCAGGCCTTGCATGTGCCACTACTTGGCTCCCTGTGTCACCCTGACCTGTCCAGCTTGGACTCAGCCAAGGAGTCCAGACATGAGTTAGCGTGTGCTTGCGTGTGTATGCTGTGTGAGTGCCTTGGCGTGAGATCGGAGCCCCAGGGGCTCCCAACCCTGGGGCTTTTTATCAACGTGTATTTATTTTTGCTATTTGTCAAGTTCTTACTGTATGCTGTGCTAGGAACGTGGCATTATGTTATTTCTATTCTCCAGCCACCCTGAGATGTACTTATGATTATGTCTCCAATTTACAGATGAGCAACAGAGGTGTTGAGAGATTGTGCCTCATCAAGGTCAGAGCTGGTGAGTAGCAGAATTCAAACTCAGAACCCGGAGTTGTCTGATTCCAGCATGTGTGCTCTTTTCCATGGGTCACACTGCCTCAAAAAAACCTTTCTCTCTCTCTCTCTGTCTCTCTCTCTCTCTCTCTCTCTCTCACACACACACACACACACACACACACACACACACACACACATCTACCTATATCATTCATGTAAACTGCTGTTGGTATCTTTTCTTTTTACAGAAAGATACGCATTGAGTAGAACAAGGGCAAGGGGGCGGCACCAGGCTGGTAACCACCTTCTGCGTAGCAGCAATTTACAGCTTACAGAGCACTTTCGCATTTGTGATCTCATTTGATCCCACAGCAGCCCCATGAGGTCAGCAGGAGGCTCAGTTCTTCCCACAGGGACTGGGACTCAGAGGGAAGGTCATAGAGACAGAAAATGGTAGCTGTAGGACAGGAAGCCCCGGGCCAACCTGGCCTTCTGGTTCTAAGTCCTGTGTGTACCCACAGACCCCGCCCGGCCCTCTGTCCCCAAGGAAGACCACCTAGGACCCCACACCCCTGAAGTCTTCCACCCCTGAGGACAGAGCTGGAGCTGATCACATGGAGGAGGCCCCCGTGGAAAGCGGGAGCCCAGCTCTCTTTCTGTAGCTGTGACACTGGCAGCTCCTTACTCTTCTCTGGATATGTTTCCTGAGTAGAATGGGAGGAAGCAGAGAAGCTTTGGGGTGGTCCTCGCAGCCCTGACATTCTGCATGTGTGAGAAAATGTCTGTGAGAGCTTTGAAAAATCTTGCCTGAGCTGGGCTTGGAGCTCCCACCGCTCTGATATGTCAGCCTGCTTCAAGCCACTCGCTCACTGATCTCAGGTGCTTCATTTTAACAACTCCCCGGCTCAGTTTCCCTGTCTGTAAAACCGGGATGATGGTGCCCACCTCCCAGGGTTGTTGACCTTTGGTTGTTGACATTTAACCCTGGCCTCAGTGACACAGACCGTTTTTATGTGTGGGTTTTTTTGTTTGTTTGTTTAATGATAGACACATACTTCTCTCTTTTTTTAAATTTTAGCTCTTCTTTGTTAATGCTTTCAGAGAGAGGGATAGAAACATCGATGAGAGAGAATCATTGATTGGCTGCCTCCTACATGCCCCACACTGGGGATCCACTGGGGATTGAGCCCACAACCCGGGCATGTGCCCTGATGGGGAATCAAACTGTGACCTCCTGGTTCATAGGTCAACGTTCAACCACTGAGCCACGCCGGCTGAGCTCTCTCTTTTTTTAAATTGATTTTAGAAGAGAAGGGAAAGAGAGAGGGAGAGAAACATCAATTGGTTGCTTTCCGTATCTGCCCCCAATTGGGGATCAAACTCAAAACCTGGGTATGTCCCCTGACTGGGAATCGAAACTGCCACCTTTTGGTGAATGGGACAAAACTCCAATCAACCGAGCCACACCGGCCGCCGGGCAGTCACAGAGACCTTTGACACAATCTCCAAACAAGGCTGTTGACCACGCAGCCCCGGGAAGAGCACAGACAGTATTTAAAGAAGATGGTGTTTTCAGGCCAGGGGACCCCTGAGTCCCAGGGCAGGTTCTCACTGCTCTGAATTAAAGGGCTCTGAATTAAAACTTGTTATAGCTCCTGAAATTTCCTGTGAGTAGCATGATTATTTTGAATTGGATTTGTGGGTAGTTCAAAATATGAACTTGTTCAATGTAAGCATTTAAAATAACCACCATTTTTGTAACTATGGTTCGTCATTCATTTAGTCACTTTTTATTATACTTGAACCTTAAAACAATGAGCGGAAAGGCTCCATGCCAGACGTGAAACCTTGGTCGGTAGTAGTACGGTTCCTGGCATGAAATAAGCACCTTGTTTAATAATAATAAGTAATAATGATAATGATAATGAGCGACATTTATAATCTACTTGATAGTTTCCCACCCCTTTCACATTCTTTATTCCAGCTCCCACGCGCAGTAGGGTAGCTATGTGAGCATTTCGTCCCATTTCACACATATAGAAACCGAAGCCCGACCTGGCGGTGAGCCGGCCGGGGGCGCAGGCCGGG